GTTACCACCACTCACTACTACTCACTACCACTACCACTACTACCATTACCACCACCACCACTACTACCACTACCACTACTACTACTACTACTACTACTGCTACTACTACTGCCACTACTACTATTACTGTTACTACTTCTGCTACTACTACTACTACTACTGCTACTACTGCCACTACTACTATTACTGCTAATACTACTACTGCTGCTACTACTACTACTACTGCTACTTCTGCTACTACTACTACTGTTACTACTACTACCACTGCTACTACTACTGCTACTACTACTGCTGATGCTACTGCCACTACTATCACTACTACTGCTACTACTGCCACTACTACTATTACTGTTACTACTTCTGCTACTACTACTACTACTACTACTATTACTGCTACTACTACTACTGTTACTACTACTACCACCGCTACTACCACCGCTACTACTACTGCTGATACTACTGCCGCTACTACTACTACTACTGCTGCTACTACTGCCACTACTACTGTTACTGTTACTACTTCTACTACTGCTACTACTACTACTACAACTACTACCACTACTACTGGTACTACTACTATTACTGCTACTACTTCTACTACTACTACTACTACTATTAGCGATTGTAGCAGCAGTAGTAGTAGTGGTAGTAGTAGCAGTAGTTTGTATATCTGTTGACAAAGCACTCAAAGCACTCAGGCCCCAAAGAAATAAAGGGGGGCAAATCCAGCTCACTGTACAAAAGGATATCCAATGTGTTCTCAAACCGGCCAAAGATCGTACTCAAAGGAAACGTATGCGAGCACTGAGGTGGCAAAATAGGACACAATGGTGGCCTACGTCAAGCAGTCATTTTGGAGGATATATAGTACAATCTTAACACCTTGCTTGTGTCACTTACAATACATCGCTATACTTGTGGAATGATCCTGAACACGGCCTACTAACCAATATAATCTCAGCGTTCGTTTTTTTAAGTTCTCGCAGTTTCACATGTCTCTCGCGGTTTCACGTGTCGATCTCGTTTTTAAAATTGTCTCTTGCAACTTCACGTGATTCTTGTGCTTTCATATGTCGCTTCAGTTTCACATGTTTCTTGCGGTTTCACATGCCTCTTGCAGTTTCACGTTTTGGTCGCGGTTTCACATGTGTCCCTCAGTTTCATATGTTTCTCGCGGTTTCACATGTCTCTTGCAGTTTCACTTGTAAGTTGTGGTTTCACATGATTCTCACACTTTCACATGTTTCTCGCGGTTTCACGTGTCTCTTGCGCTTTCACTTGTTAGTCGCGGTATCACATGTGTCTCGCAGTTTTACATGGTTTTCGTGGTTTTACATGTCTCTCGTGGTTTTAAAATCGTCCCTTGCGACTTCATATGATTCTCGATGTTTCACCTGTTTTGAACATGGCTTCTGCCAATCTAACTCATAAAACCCGACACCTTAGACTTACCAAACTCACTGTGGTTATACTTATTAATTTTACATTTTACATACATTTTCTAGATAAAACAAATTGTTTGTGTCCCAATAAAGGGCGGACTGAATTATTTCTCCCCTTATCTAGAATTGCCTCTTCTAAAGCTAGTATTGCAATACCTTCATGAATTGGCAATTCAGCTGAGTCCAGAGCAAGGCCACAGACCCAATGCCTGTCAAGTTACAGCCAAACGGTTGATCGCTTCGAAATATTAGAGTTGGCGTATGCAATTATGAGTATAAACAGAGTAATAAAATTATTGCCATAAATTTCTTATTTATTTGTTTCAATAAATATATCCAAAAAATATAATGTTTGTGTATTTCACTTGTCGTTTAACAAACCTCAAACTCGATAATCTTTATCATAAACTAAGCCATCCCGAGTTATCTCCCTTTATTACCGTTCAAGAAAAATCATGGCGAAACGTTTTGCCTCTCATGACTCAATGTTGTTGTTTGTGTTGTTTTGATTCCAATGCTGAAACAAAAAAGTTAATCTAACATCTGGACCTACAACAATAAACTACAAAGAAATGTGATATAAATTGAAACTGCATTCCCAAATTAACCAACTTTACACATAAATAAAAATTATGATAATAAGAAACAGCGTGGCAGTACAAATTCAATAGCAGTAGAAGAATGGTACAAAAGCAGCAGCAACGATGGACAGTGATCAAAATATTCACCCTGCTACAACAGCGGTCAAATCTAGGCTGGGGATCTAGGTTGAACAGTGATCTCCACACAGCTGCTGGTCTTGATGTAATGTCGTATCTTGAGATGGCAGATGGCTTCAGAAGTTCTATCTGGAATATTCTGTAACGCTCTGGTTCAGACTACGCTGGGATATTCTGTAACGCTCTGGTTCAGACTACGCTGGGATATTCTGTAACGCTCTGGTTCAGACTACGCTGGGATATTCTGTAACGCTCTGGTTCAGACTACGACTGTAACGCTGGTTCGATACGCTGGGATATTCTGTAACGCTCTGGTTCAGACTACGCTGGGATATTCTGTAACGCTCTGGTTCAGACTACGCTGGGATATTCTGTAACGCTCTGGTTCAGACTACGCTGGGATATTCTGTAATGCTCTGGTTCAGACTACGCTGGAATATTCTGTAACGCTCTGGTTCAGACTATGCTGGGATATTCTGTAACGCTCTGGTTCAGACTACGCTGGGATATTCTGTAACGCTCTGTTTCAGACTATGCTGGGATATTCTGTAACGCTCTGGTTCAGACTACGCTGGGATATTCTGTAACGCTCTGGTTCAGACTACGCTGGGATATTCTGTAAAACCAGACTACGCTGGGATATTCTGTTACGCTCTGGACTATACGCTGGGATATTCTGTAACGCTCTGATTCAGACTACGCTGGGATTCTGTAACGCTCGCTGGAATTTCAGAACTAGACTATGCTGGGATATTCTGTAACGCTCTGATTCAGACTACGCTGGGATATTCTGTAACGCTCTGGTTCAGACTACGCTGGGATATTCTGTAACGCTCTGGTTCAGACTACGCTGGGATATTCTGTAACGCTCTGGTTCAGACTACGCTGGGATATTCTGTAACGCTCTGGTTCAGACTACGCTGGAATTTTGTAGATGTTTTAGATCCTCTGAGGGGGGCGTTGGGGTAGCGTAGTGGTTAAACCGTCCGCTCGTCATGCTGAGAACCTGGGTTTGATTCCCCACATGGGTACAATGTGTGAAGCCTATTTTGATATTGCTGGAATATTGCTAAAAGCGACGTAAAACCGTACTCACTCACTCACTAGATCCTTTGATAACAGTGTATTTCTAAGTTGGAACAAGCACCTTTGTGCCCCCCACTGAATCTTTAAAGAAACTTTAGTAACTCAAAGATGTATAACACAGTCACACAGCACACCTCGCAGCGACGTAAACCCATACTCACTCACTCACTCACTAGATCCTTTGATAACAGTGTATTTCTAAGTTGGAACAAGCACCTATGTGCCCCCCACTGAAACTTTAAAGAAACTATAGTAACTCAAAGATGTATAACACTGTCACACAGCACACCTTGCAGCCACGTACGGATTATTACCTTGATGTCAGATTTTAACGTACATTATCTTGTGTTGACGTACGAATCTCTAGATTCTCGAGTGAACAATGTTTGTCTGTCTGTCCACGTGTATATATCATCTACAGGTTGTCAAGGTGGCACCCTCCCCAGAAGTGCAAGGGAGACTCCCCATGGGTCGCCCTGAGTCACTGAGCGTGGAAGGAACCTTTGTTACGGGCCCTTCTGGCGCCCCTCAACCCTCAGATAGTGTTCACCTGGGAACCTCCTGCTGCAGGTACAGAGTGAGGTGTGTGAGGAGTGAGTCACTGAGCGTGGAAGGAGCCCTTGTTCCTGGGCCCTTCTGGCGCCCCTCAACCCTCAGATAGTGTTCACCTTGGAACCTCCTGCAGCAGGTACAGAGTGAGTGTGTGAGTGAGTGAGTCACTGAGCGTGGAAGGAACCCTTGTTCCGGGCCCTTCTGGCGCCCTCAACCCTCAGATAGTGTTCACCTGGGAACCTCCTGCAGCAGGTACAGAGTGAGTATGTGAGTGAGTGAGTGAGTGTGGGCATGAGTGAGTGAGTGTGGGCATGAGTGAGTGAGTGTGAGCATGAGTGAGTGAGTGAATGAGAGGATATGTCCAAGAATCACCATGAGTATAGATTACACTGTGGGTGGATGAGTGGAATGATTGATTGATTGAGTGAGTGAGTTTAGTTTTACGCCGCACTCAGCAATATTCCAGCTATATAGCGGCGGTTTGTAAATAATCGAATATGGACCAGACAATCCAGTGATCAACAGCATGAGCATCGATCTACGCAACTGGGAACCGATGACATGTGTCAACCAAGTCAGTGAGCCTGACCACCCGATCCCGTTAATCGCCTCTTACAACAAGCAATTCTACCCCGGATCTTCACGGGTCAGTGGAATGATTGAGTGAGGGAATGGAAAAGTAGGCATTTCGGTGGGTGTTTCTGAAATAATGTTTTGAGCGCAATGCTATGGAATCCTTGAAGGGACATTGTCGGGTTGTCGCCCTCAACAAAGCAAAAACAAGCAAAATGAGGATCCGAATAAATTAACCAAAGCGCGACCATGCGACAACGCGGCATTTCGGCCATTTGTCGCATTGTCGTGATGTCGCATGTCGCGTTTTGAATAATATTTTTCTATTCCTCCAAAGGGCGACAATGCGACATAGCGACAATTTTCAAGGTCAAAATATGTGGCGTTGTCGTATTGTCGCCCCATCTAAGATGTGTGAACAAAGCCCAAAAATGCGCGACAATGCGACAATGACCTTCTCAGACACAAACACTAGCATGGTATGGGGTTTCATGCGCGGATCCAGAGGGGGGTGCGGGGGTGCACACCCCCCCCCCGCCAAGAGTGTTCCAAATGTACTACATGTTTAATGCCCAGGGTTCCGAGGATTGGGGGTCTCCCCCGAAAATCCTGTATCCGCCCCTGGGGTTTTCTCAACTAACAGAGCCCGGAACGAAAAGCCTTTTCTCTACCTAATGAGGGATGTATCACTGTTGCAGCTGCAGGCTTTGAGCACCTGAAGGGCTTCTACATAGAGATCTACAGGTTTTCAGGGACCTCCCCAGAGCCGACGTTTTACTGCAGAGTGTTTGACTTCTCCCAAAACAACTTCACTTCCCAGGATTACAAGGTACACGGTATTCAGATAGGTGACCTTGACCTTGACCCACAACCACCGTGACCTTGATTCCTCACACTGGTACAATGTATGAAGCCCGTGTTATGGTGTCCGCCGCTGTGATATTACTTTAATACTACTGAAAGAGTTAGAGAACTGTATTGAATCACCAAGAGATAAGTAATATTATGTTTATATCCAGTCCAACACCAGTGTTCTAAAAGCAGCATAACAAATACTCACTCACTCTTAATGGGACCAGGCCATGAATTTGTCAGATGTTGAGATACGACAGCATACTGACAGTACATGTTCGCATAAAGGACTGACTGACTGACTGAGTTTAGTTTTACGCCGCTTTTAGCAATATTCCAGCAATATCACGGCGGGGGACACCAGAAATGGGCTGAACACTTTGTGCCGATGTGGGGAATCGAACCCGGGTCTTCGGCGTGAAGAGCCAACGCTTTAACCACTAGGCTACCCCACCGCCCCTCGCATAGAGGAACGTTGTGCAGGAAAGGTCTATGTACAGACCATGTCTCTCGGATTTAATAGAACAGTGCGTCAGTTAGCCCTGTGCGCAAGCGTCCTCGTGCTTTAACTATATAATAGTTCAGGGCGAAAGTGTGCTTTATTACACGATACATGGTGGTAGAGCGAATTGTATTTCTTAAATCCATCCAATCATAGAACACACCAAACCTTATCATTGGTCCCTCCGAAGCATATCGAACCTGGATTTGTCATTATCAATGTCGATGACATGAAACTGATGTGGTTTCATGTCCTTTCGTTTCATGTCCTTTACACAAGAAGTATATAAACATAGTTTTCACTTCAGCTGAATTTCAAGAAGAAAATGGTCGGATTCCCCGGTGGCACCAACTTCCTGTATCGCATGGAGATGTACACGTTGCCAATGTCATCTGAATCCAAGTCCAGGATCGCGTTATTTACTCTTCAACCGGTGCAAGGTGATTCATACTTGAACGAATCAAAAGTAGAGTTACAATAGAAACCTGTGAATGTCCTGTGCTATCAATCTAATGATCCATGATCGCATGTCAACGTTATGACAACACAAGTATTCCACAATTGTATGTTAAACAAATAAGAAACTTAACAATTAAAGTAGGGGTGAAACGGTATACCTCGGTATTAGTAGAACCGCGGTATTTTGCCTTCGATACGGTATACCGTAATGCAATCCAAAAAATTCTGCATTTTCGGTTTTCGTACCGTAATTTTATTAACATGTTAAAACCTTTTCTAAAATGTCTAGAAATCGAATCATTTTGTCAAAATCTATGCACTTCTTTGCTTGACGGCCGCTATTTTCCCGGAAGTAAGTTCTCATATACCGAACTGAAACGGACCGAACCAGAAGGCCTTGTACCCTCAGTACGTACCGTACCGTGGTAAGAGCAGACCGGTTCACCCCTAACTTGAAGAACTAAATTAAGTTGAAACTGAGTAATACAAGGTGTTAATATAGGAGAATGCCACAATGGCCATGTCTAGCCTGACGCAACCGTTTATGCATGTACATTAACTGTTAGTAGTATTATTCGTTCCTTTTCCTGCAGTGCTTGTGAACATTTACAGTTCTCACACGCACGCACACACGCACGCACATTCTGTTCAGATCGAATTTGTCTTCAGCGACCCATGCTTGTCGTAAGGGGCGACTAACGGGATACGGTGGTCAGGGTCGCTGACTTTGGTTGACACATGTCACCGTATCTCAATTTTGTAGATCAGTGCTCATGCTGTTGATCATTGGATTGTCTGGTCCAGACTCGGTTATTTACAGACCGCCACCATATTGCTGGATTATTGTGAGTGCTGCGTTAAAACAACAAACCAACCAACCATAACAGAATGTCGGGATTCATATTTTCATACCATGCAGTAAATCAAATTATAGCTAAAATACATGGAATTATCATGAAACGGCCCTCCCATTATCAGAAATTTGCGGTCCGCTGCAAATGATATTGGACCGCTCAACCTAACTACGGGCCACTATCAGTTCCGTTGTCAAGTGACGTCATAGTTCGACATTAATTGGCTTTCGACTGGCAGATAGTCTGGGTAAAACAAGTCAAAGCAACCCAAATTCCCGCTTTAAAATAGCGGTAATATTGGCCTTCTTGTTGGTGCTAACCTTAACAATTGCACTATTAAGGCTGTTGAAGGACCCAAAACCGAACACTGTCATAGTTTGACATGTTGCAGGCTATGGTCTTGTCAAAGGCCAAGGTCGAATATCGTCACTTTCTGTTGTGACGTCACTTGGGTTGTTCGATGACGTAATTGCATTCTGGGCAGTCAAGCCCGTCAGAAGTTGATTTGGGTAAACTTACAGTCACATTCCTTCATTGTTTCCTTTTCTTTCAACACAAATTCCATGTATTTTGAGCAATAATAACGGTAATGCTATTTTTTGAGGGAGAGCTTCATTTCCAGAAGCCCTCGGTCTTTTTCAACTGCCCTCCTTCGTCGGGCAGTTAAGGGAAGACCTCGGGCTTCTGCAAATGACAATGCCCTCAAAATAGCATTACCCTTATAATATCACTGTCTCATGTTAACGTGACGTCATGAACAATGCTATGACGTCACGTTTCTGTCTATGACATTGCATTCTAGATGCGGCGACGGCGGGTAGCCAGCCAGTGTTTGAAAGTATGTATGTATGTTCACAAGCGTGTTCTATAACGTAGTTTGCTATTGGTGGTTGTTGCAGATGGTACATCCACGGCATTTTGGTCTGCATCAGTCTCCTACGAGATGCGGACCCTGACAGACCCCGCTGACATCACAGTGCAGTTCAGTCTGGCTCCCAGCGAGTACAACTTCCGGAAATACAGCGTCGAGCTCGTCGGCGACCATGACGACAAAAATGTCCTCATCGGCTGCGAGGTTGACACTCTGGGTGATTATTCATGCCAGGGAATAGTAAGTATCTATATTATTATTGCACAGTGAACAGAAGTTGTTTAACGTCTAAATCTGGTAGTTCAAGCTGCATGACGCCGTGGACCAAGCAAACCTGTGATTCGTGTAATGGTCAACGTTCCACGATGTCGGGGACACGATGACCCGCTGTCCATTGAAGCACGACGTCTGAAGCCTCGATCGAATATAACAGCATTTTTCAACCTTTGGGTGAAAGGTTCTCTCCGTCAAAGCTGCGGTTGTATAGCCTAGTACTTAAAGCGTTCGATCGTCACGCCGAAGGCTCGGGTTCGATTCACCCACATGGGTACAATGCGTGAAGCCCATTTCTGGTGTCTCCTTATATCGCTGGAATATTGCTGGAATATTGCTGGAATATCGCTGGAATATTGCTAAAAGCGGCGTAAAATCATACTAGCTCACACAATCTCTTCGTCAAAATATACATTTAGGAATAGTGAACCTTTGCATGGTTTGGGCCGACTTAATAATAAGATGATATACATTTCTATTTGCCAATATTCGGATTAATGCCTTCCTTGTTTAGCAATTAGTAAAATCCTGAATCAAAATTTAACCGAAAGGGCTATCTATGAAATTGTAAGAAGACCAATATTGGGAATGACATTTGCTGAAACCAATTAACCAATGATTTGCTTACATTTATTCCAATAAGAGTTTGTTTCTCTCCGTTCAGAACAACCTCAAGCCTCCTGCAGGTGCCAGTACTGTCACCCATACGTTCCACGACCTGGGGCCTGGTTCATACAGAGTGTGGGTACGTTCATGTTGAGATCTTGGTTCATACAGAGCGTGGGTACGTTCATGTTAGAGATCTTGGTTCATACAAAGTGTGGCTACGTTCATGTTGAGATCTTGATACATACAGAGCGTTTTGGTACGTTCATGTTGAGATCTTGGTTCATACAAGGTGTGGGTACGTTCATGCTGAGATCTTGGTTCATACAGAGTGTGGGTACGTTTCATGTTGAGATCTTGGTTCATACAGAGTGTGGGTACTTTCATGTTGAGATCTTGGTTCATACAGAGTGTGGGTACTTTCATGTTGAGATCTTGGTTCATACAGAGTGTGGGTACTTTCATGTTGAGATCTTGGTTCATACAGAGCGTGGGCACTTTCATGTTAAGATCTTGGTTCATACAGAGTGTGGGTACTTTCATGTTGAGATCTTGGTTCATACAGAGTGTGGGTAGTACTTTCATGTTGAGATCTTGGTTCATACAGAGTGTGGGTACGTTCATGTTGAGATCTTGGTTCATACAGAGTGTGGGTACTTTCATGTTGAGATCTTGGTTCATACAGAGCGTGGGTACTTTCATGTTGAGATCTTGGTTCATACAGAGCGTGGGTACTTTCATGTTGAGATCTTGGTTCATACAGAGTGTGGGTACTTTCATGTTGAGATCTTGGTTCATACAGAGTGTGGGTACGTTCATGTTGAGATCTTGGTTCATACAGAGTGTGGGTACTTTCATGTTGAGATCTTGGTTCATACAGAGTGTGGGTACTTTCATGTTGAGATCTTGGTTCATACAGAGTGTGGGTACTTTCATGTTAAGATCTTGGTTCATACAGAGCGTGGGTACTTTCATGTTGAGATCTTGGTTCATACAGAGTGTGGGTACTTTCATGTTGAGATCTTGGTTCATACAGAGTGTGGGTACTTTCATGTTGAGATCTTGGTTCATACAGAGTGTGGGTACTTTCATGTTGAGATCTTGGTTCATACAGAGCGTGGGTACTTTCATGTTGAGATCTTGGTTCATACAGAGTGTGGGTACTTTCATGTTGAGATCTTGGTTCATACAGAGCGTGGGTACTTTCATGTTGAGATCTTGGTTCATACAGAGTGTGGGTACTTTCATGTTGAGATCTTGGTTCATACAGAGCGTGGGTACTTTCATGTTGAGATCTTGGTTCATACAGAGTGTGGGTACTTTCATGTTGAGATCTTGGTTCATACAGAGTGTGGGTACTTTCATGTTGAGATCTTGGTTCATACAGAGTGTGGGTACTTTCATGTTGAGATCTTGGTTCATACAGAGTGTGGGTACTTTCATGTTGAGATCTTGGTTCATACAGAGTGTGGGTACGTTCATGTTTGAGATCTTGGTTCATACAGAGTGTGGGTACTTTCATGTTGAGATCTTGGTTCATACAGAGTGTGGGTACTTTCATGTTGAGATCTTGGTTCATACAGAGTGTGGGTACTTTCATGTTGAGATCTTGGTTCATACAGAGTGTGGATACTTTCATGTTGAGATCTTGGTTCATACAGAGTGTGGGTACTTTCATGTTGAGATCTTGGTTCATACAGAGCGTGGGTACTTTCATGTTGAGATCTTGGTTCATACAGAGTGTGGGTACTTTCATGTTGAGATCTTGGTTCATACAGAGTGTGGGTACTTTCATGTTGAGATCTTGGTTCATACAGAGTGTGGGTACCTTCATGTTGACATCTTGGTTCATACAGAGTGTGGGTACGTTCATGTTGAGATCTTGGTTCATACAGAGTGTGGGTACTTTCATGTTGAGATCTTGGTTCATACAGAGTGTGGGTACTTTCATGTTGAGATCTTGGTTCATACAGAGTGTGGGTACTTTCATGTTGAGATCTTGGTTCATACAGAGTGTGGGTACTTTCATGTTGAGATCTTGGTTCATACAGAGTGTGGGTACTTTCATGTTGACATCTTGGTTCATACAGAGTGTGGGTACTTTCAAGTTGAGATCTTGGTTCATACAGAGTGTGGGTACTTTCATGTTGAGATCTTGGTTCATACAGAGTGTGGGTACTTTCATGTTGAGATCTTGGTTCATACAGAGTGTGGGTACTTTCATGTTGAGATCTTGGTTCATACAGAGTGTGGGTACTTTCATGTTGAGATCTTGGTTCATACAGAGTGTGGGTACGTTCATGTTGAGATCTTGGTTCATACAGAGTGTGGGTACTTTCATGTTGAGATCTTGGTTCATACAGAGTGTGGGTACTTTCATGTTGAGATCTTGGTTCATACAGAGCGTGGGTACTTTCATGTTGAGATCTTGGTTCATACAGAGTGTGGGTACTTTCATGTTGACATCTTGGTTCATACAGAGTGTGGGTACTTTCATGTTGAGATCTTGGTTCATACAGAGCGTGGGTACTTTCATGTTAAGATCTTGGTTCATACAGAGTGTGGGTACTTTCATGTTGAGATCTTGGTTCATACAGAGTGTGGGTACTTTCATGTTGAGATCTTGGTTCATACAGAGTGTGGGTACTTTCATGTTGAGATCTTGGTTCATACAGAGTGTGGGTACTTTCATGTTGAGATCTTGGTTCATACAGAGCGTGGGTACTTTCATGTTGAGATCTTGGTTCATACAGAGCGTGGGTACTTTCATGTTGAGATCTTGGTTCATACAGAGTGTGGGTACTTTCATGTTGAGATCTTGGTTCATACAGAGCATGGGTACTTTCATGTTGACATCTTGGTTCATACAGAGTGTGGGTACTTTCATGTTGAGATCTTGGTTCATACAGAGTGTGGGTACTTTCATGTTGAGATCTTGGTTCATACAGAGTGTGGGTACTTTCATGTTGAGATCTTGGTTCATACAGAGTGTGGGTACTTTCATGTTGAGATCTTGGTTCATACAGAGTGTGGGTACTTTCATGTTGAGATCTTGGTTCATACAGAGTGTGGGTACGTTCATGTTGAGATCTTGGTTCATACAGAGTGTTGGTACTTTCTGTGTTGACATCTTGGTTCCTACAAAGTGTTGGTACTTGAATGTTGAGATCTTGGTTCATACAGAGTGTGGGTACTTTCATTTTGAGATCTTGGTTCATACCGAGTGTGGGTACTTTCATGTTGAGATCTTGGTTCATGCAGAGTGTGGGTGCTTTCATGTTGAGATCTTGGTTCATACAGAGCGTTTGTACTTTCATGTTGAGATCTTGGCTCATACAGAGTGTGGGTAATTACGTTCATGTTGAGATCTTGGCTCATACAGAGTGTGGGTACGTTCATGTTGAGATCTTGGTTCATACAGAGCGCTTTGGTACGTTCATGTTGAGATCTTGGTTCATACAGATTGTGAGTACGTTCATGTTGAGACATAAGTTCATACAGAGTGTGGGTTTGTTCATGTTAAGACCTTGGTTCATACAGAGTGTGGGTACGTTCATGTTAAGATCTCTGTTCATACAGAGCGTGGTTACTTTCATGTTGAGATCTTGGTTCATACAGAGTGTTGGTACTTTCATGTTGATATCTTGGTTCATACAGAGTGGGGTACGTTCATGTCGAGATCTTGGTTGATACAGAGCGTGGGTACTTTCATGTTGAGATCTTGGTTCATACAGAGCGTGGGTACTTTCATGATGAGATCTTGGTTCATACAGAGTGTGGGTACTTGAATGTTGAGATCTTGGTTCATACAGAGCGTCAGTACTTTCATGTAGAGATACGGGTTCATACAGAGTGTGGGTACTTTCATGTTGACATCTTGGTTCATACAGAGTGTGGGTACTTTCATGTTGAGATCTTGGTTCATACAGAGCGTAGAGTACTTTCATGTTAAGATATTGGTTCATACAAAGTTTGGGTACGTTCATGTTGAGATCCTGGTTCATACAGAGTGTGGGTACTTTCATGTTGAGATCTTGGCTCATACAGAGTGTGGGTACTTTCATGTTGACATCTTGGTTCATACAGAGTGTGGGTACGTTCATGTTGAGATCTTGGTTCATACAGAGTGTGGATACGTTGATCTTGACATCTTGGTTCATACAGAGCGTGGGTACTTTCATGTTCACATCTTGGTTCATACAGAGCGTTGGTACTTTCATGTTGACATCTTGGTTCATACAGAGTGTTGGTACTTTCATGTTGAGATCTTGGTTCATACAGAGTGTGGGTACGTTCATGTTGAGATCTTGGTTCATACAGACCGCTTTGGTACTTTGCAAGTTGAGGTCTTGGTTCATACAGATTGTGGGTACGTTCATGATGAGACATAAGTTCATACAGAGTGTGGGTTTGTTCATGTTAAAACCTTGGTTCATACAGAGTGTGGGTACTTTCATGTTAAGATCTTGGCTCATAGAGAGAGTCTTGGTACGTTCATGTTGAGACCTTGGCTCTTAGAAAGTATTGGTACTTTAATGTTGACAACTTGCTTCATACAGAGTGTGGGTACGTTCATGTTGAGATCTTGACTCATACAGAGTGTTGGTGCTTTCATCTTGAGATCTTGGTTCATACAGAGTGTGGGTACTTTCATGTTAAGTTCTTGGTTCATACAGAGTGTGGGTGCGTTCATGTTGAGACCTTGGCTCATAGAAAGTGTTGGTACTTTTAATGTTGACAACTTGCTTCATAAAGAGTGTGGGTACGTTCATGTAGAGATCTTGGTTCATACAGAACGCTTTGGTACTTTCAAAGTTGAGGTCTTTCTTCATACAGAGAGTGGGTACGTTCATCTTAAGATCTTGGTTCATACAGAGCGTGGTTACTTTCATGTTGAGATCTTGGTTCATACACAGTGGTGGTACTTTCATGTTGATATCTTGGTTCATACAGAGTGTGGGTACTTTCATGTTGACATGTTGGTTCATACAGAGTGTTGGTACTTTCATGTTGAGATCTTGGCTCATACAGAGTGTTGGTGCTTTCGTGTTGACATCTTGGTTCATACAAAGTGTGGGTACTTTCATGTTAAGATCTTGGCTCATACAGAGTGTGGGTACGTTCATGTTGAGATCTTGG